TGTGTGTGTGTGTTTAGTCTAATTATGAGGAAAGTCTTAAATGATGGGCTTGCTACATTTGAAGAACATAGTTAAATGATTGATATTTATACTGGTGGCTATACTGGTGGCTTAATGGTTAAGAACTCATGCTGCTGTTGTGGAGGACCCTGTTATGGAGGACCCTAGTTTAGTTCCCAGCACCTACTTCAGGTAACTCACAACGCCCTGTAACTCCAGTTCCAGAAAATCTCTGACACTCCCTTCTGGACTCCAAGCACCTGCACTCATGTGCATATACTCACACACATACACATAATTGAAAAAAATAAAATAAATCTGTTTTTTTTAAAACTTTTTAAAAAAGTGATTGATACTGAATTCAGTACAAGTATGAATATTAAGACACTCACCCCATAGGAAATTGATACACACTGGTTGCATTCATTTTTATAAAGTGAATATTCAGTATTTTGGATAGAGGCCTCCATCACTTAACAGCCTCAGTAGCAAAATTTTATTTTATTTAACCTTTCAAGTACTGAATCCATTGATTAAATAGCATGACTTTTATTATCTTAGAGTTGCAGTGTGGAATGGAAGAGTATCCCTTTTGGATAAAGTCCATTGATTGCTTTATTTATTACACATAGACTCTTAGCCTAATTTGTTGTTCTTTGAGAAGCAATAGCCAAACTTTAAATTATGTGGGGCTTTTGGTGGCAAAAAAATAAAAGTTACAAGATTTCTCCTCTGTCACTGTCAAGATTAATCAGTTTTCCACCATCTCACTGTAGATGAGTGGTGGTATCTCCCATGTACGTCTTTTTTTTTTTTTTTTTTTTGGTTGGTCTTTTGAGACAAGGTCTCCTGAGTGCCCATGTTTCCTTTTACTATTTCTGAGGACTGTAATCATTATTCTCCACTGTTTTGCCTTATTTTTACATTTTGAAAATGGACTGATAGGAAATTAAAAGATATCTATAAATTATTCAGGTATCCAGTTCACAATAGAAGGTGTTTCACACTATATTATATTTTTTGATCATTCCTTTTGACGTATAACCTACAACTCACTGATTTATTTACCTTTCATTCGTGCTTTTAAAAAGTCCCTGCTCTGTTCTGATACTGTGCTAGAGGTTGCCAGTCTTATTTTTCCCTAACTGCATGTGGCATTGGTTTTCACACACCACATGCTCCCCTTGGTCTGCATATCAGGGCTAGGCAGTTTTCATGCTCCTTTCTTTCCTACTTAGTAAAGAATATCTGAATTCAGAGAAATGAAAGAGGTGGTGGTTACCTCTGAAGCCACTGTAGTATACAAAAATAGTGAATCATCGCTACAGTTAAGCACTGGGGTTTGTGTTGCTATTTGAGAGGACTGTGACACCTAACTGATTTTGGTATTCTGGTATGCCAAGAGACAGATAAACAGAAAGATAAAATCTTTGGCCATCAAGAAAAAGGCCTAACAGTAGAGGTAGAATTTATCCAAATAATTATAATTAAAGGGAAAGTGTAATGTCGTTACTAATATGAAGTCTTTATGTGTTTTTCTGTGTAAGGAGAAATTATTTTTAAAGTATCAGAAAAGATATTGTAAGCAGAGTGACATGTGGATTATAGGGAAAGAATCAGAAGAGGGTATACAGATGGGAGTGAGTGTAAACCCCAAACCACATACATTTCCTGTTAGATTCTTGAGATTCTATTTTATCTTTGAAATTCGAAATACATATGTACAGTTGACTGTCTATTGAATCCTTTGGTTCAATCAGCCTCAGGTAATACATATTCAAGAAAAAAAAAAGCTTTATTCTGATCGTGTAGAGGCTTTCCTTCTTGGCCTTAGTCTCAAAAAGGTATAGTAGAACAATTCACATTGCATTTACAGTCTATTGGGCATTACAAATAATTAAACATATGGAAAGATGCATAACGCAATTCAGAAATTTTGGGAAAAATGTTATCTCATAAAGCATTGGGCCCCCAATATGGGTTTAATTAACATTCAGTCAGCTTATCCCGAATGATTAATAAACCACAGAAACAACGGTTTCCTCTGCCCTCTGTATAGCATTGGTATTTTTGGAAATTATGCTGCCTGTGCCAAGTTTTATTTGTAGATAGAATGGGAATTGTTAAATGTCCTATCAATTCACAAGAAATCTTTGTTCTTTTATTAAGAACATACCGGATAACTAATGCCATTTAGAGTTTTCAATAACTTCTTGTACTTAAAGCAGCCACATGAATCATATAATTACTTCATTCAGCAGAAATTTCCTGCTAAAAAAGCCACGAGGGCATAGTTAGTTGTTTGTGTTTTTTGTTTGTTTTTTGTTGTTTTTTTTTCTCTACTTCTTCCTTTCCCTCTCTCCCTTCCTCCATTTCCCTTTCCCCTTCCTCTTTTTTCCTTGCAAATCCTTCCTTCCCTCCCATTTTCCTCTCTGTTTTCTCTCTTCTGTTTGCTTTGATTTTGGTCTAAACATAGATTAATAAGATTCATTAGTCTAGATTCTTACAAAATTAAGATTTTTTAAACAAAGATTTATTAAAATGATTATGTTATTGTGGTTTTCAAGAGAATTATCTGACTGTCCATCAAGAGTGAGGTGATTGAGTAAATTGCAGTGGGCTCATATTTTGGTATATTATACTTACTAAAATGAACAAAGTAAGTTAATCTAATGTGAAGAACATGATATATATTACCTTAAGACCATCAAGATGACTTAGTAGTAATGGCACCTGCCCCAAGCCTGACTACCTGAGTTCATTCCCTGGAACCTGCACGGTGGAAGGACAGAACCAATTCCTGAAAGTTATCTCCTGACATACACACACACACACACACACACACACACACACACACACACACACACTCACACACACACACACACATTTTAGAACTTTTAAAGGCTATAGAAAGGCATAGTTCCTAAGGACATTGAAAGTGGCAAAGGATAGATAGGATAGAGGGAGATGATGATTGATGGAAGAATACATAAATGGATGGATTCTTATCTGCATAGTAAAGTAATTTAGTATGAATAAAAGTAGCATTCCTGGGGCTGGAGAGATGGCTCAGCTGTTAAGAACACTGGCTGCTCTTGCAGAGGACCCAGGTTTAATTCCCAGCACCCACATGGCAGCTAACAACCATCCATAACTCCAATTCCAGGGGAGTCCAATGCCCACTTCTGACCTCTGTGGGCATTGCACAACATGGGTGCACACACACACACACACACATATATAT